GGATTCTGTTAGAACTGGACGCCGTTCTCATAATATTATATCAGAGCTCTAACATGATTCTTTTACTATTAGAGCTGGGCGCAGCTCTCTAGTAGGACTGTGTGAGAGCTGGACGCAGCTCTAGTCGCATTCTACTAGCGCTGTACGCAGCTCTAGTAGGATTCTATCAGGGCTGGACGCAGCTGTCGTATGATTCCGTTAGAGCTGGGAGCAGCTGTAGTAGCAGTATATTCCAGCTGGGCGCAGCTCTAGTTCTTTTAAGGCTGGACGCAGTCCTAGTCGTATTCTATTCGAGCTGGACGCAGCTCTAGTAGCATTCTATGAGAGCTGGACGCAGCTCTAGTAGGCTCCCATTCGAGCTGGACGCAGCGCTAGTCGGTATCTATTAGATCTGGACGCAACCCTAGTATCATTCAATTAGAGCTGGGCGCAGCTCTAGTAATAGGATTCGATTTGAGCTGGACGCGTTTCTCGTGGCATTCTGTGAGAGCTGGGCGCAGCTCTAGTAGCATTCTATTAGAGTTGGACGCATCTCTAGTAGGATCCAGTTAGAGCTGGACGGCTTTAGTTCGATTCTATTAGGGCTGGGCGCAGCCTAAGTGGCATCCGTTTAGGGCTAGACGCAGCTCTCGGAGCATTCTATTACAGCTGGGCGCAGCTCTAGTAGCATTCTGTTGAAGTTTGACGCAGCCCTGGCGGGGTGCTGTTCAAGCAGGACGCATCTCTAGTAACATTAGGTTAGAGCTGGACGCAGCTCTGGTGGCATTCTCTTAGAGCAGGACGCATCCCCAGTAGGATCCTGTAAGAGTTGGACGCAACTCTAGTAGCATTCTATCAGAGCAGGACGTAGTTCTAGTAGCATTCTATCAGAGCTGGGCGCGGCTCTAGTAGCATTCTTTTAGGGCTGGACGCCGCTCTAATAGTAGGGTTATGCTAGAGCTGGGCGCAGCTCTAGTAGCATTCTAGTAGAGCTGGGCGCAGCTCGAGGAGGATTCTGTGAGAGCTTGACGCAGGTCTAGTAGTAGGATTATATGAGAGCTGGGCGCAGCTCTAGTAGTATTTTACTAGAGCTGTTCGGAGCTCTGATAGGATTCTATTAGAGCTGGACGCAGCTCTAGTAGGAACCTATTAGAGCTGAACGCAGCTCTAGTAGGACTCTGTGAGGACTGGACGCAACTCTAGTAGAATTCTATATGAGCTGGACGCAGCTCTAGTCGAGTTTTATTAGAACTGGACGCAGCTCTAGTAGGATTCTATTCGGACGCAGCTTTATTAGCATTCTATGAGAGCTGGACGCGGCTCTGGTAGGGTCATAGGCGAGATGGATTCAGCTCCAGTAGCATTCTATGAGAGCTGGACGCAGCTTTAGTGGGATTTTATGAGAGCTCGACGCAGCTCTAGTAACATTATTGGATCAGGACGCAGTTCCAGTAGCAGTCTTCCAGAGCTGGACGCAGCTCTAGCAACATGTGATCAGAGCTGGACGCAGCTCTGAGAGGATTCTTTTAGAGCTGGTCATAGTTCTAGTAGCATTCTATTAGAGCTGTGCGCAGCTCTAGGAGGGTCCTGTGAGAGCTGGACGCAGCTCTAGTAGGATTCAAGTCGAGCGGGACGCAGCTCTAGTAGGGCCCGGTAGAGTTGGACGCAGCTCTAGCATCATTCTGTTACAGATGGATGCAACTCTATCAGCATTCTTTTAGAACTGGACGCAGCTCCAGTAGCATTATATGAGAACTGGGCCCAGCTCCAGTAGGATTCCATTCGAGCTGGACGCAACTCTAGTAGAATTCTGTTAGAGCTGGACGCAGCTTTAGTAGGGTCCGATAAGAGCTCGACACAGCTCCAGTAGGACTTTATAAGAGCTGGACGTAGCTCTCGTAGGATTGTGTTAAAGCTGGACGCAGCTCTAAAAAGGCTTCTAGTCGAGCTGGGCGCAGCTCCAATAGCATTTTATTAGAGTTGGACGCAGCTTTGGTAGGATTCTATTAGACCTGGGCGCAGCTCTAGTAGGACTCTGTGAGAGCTGCGCGCAGTTCTAGTAGAATTCGGATAGGGTTGCTGTAGGAGATCGCTTCGCTGGCGCGCACATCCATGTTCTGTTGAGCATTGAATTGAAAACTCAGTTCGGGAATTTTTCTTGCTTCATTCCCATTCGCTTGTGGTGGTGCTTGTTGCGTGGTTGCGGTTGCGACCCCCCCGCCTCTTCGAATCTGGGGGCAAGGGGAGGCCGGAGATCTGGTACCCTGCCCCCCAGGGTACCAGAAACCCGTCCCCGCCTTGTTGTTGTTGATGATGATGATGATGATGGTGATGATGATGATGATGATGCTGATGATGATGATGATGATGATGATGATGATGATGTTGTTGTTGAGTGTTCATGATTAAACAATCATTATTTTTGGACCCCTTACAGGCGCCTTGGCGCTCTCGCCGAGGCGCCGGCTGCATTTTCATTCAAAATGAGGCTCACTCTCAAGCGGTTTGGGGGGCCGCCAAAACCGGCCCCCAACAACAACAACGTTCCCGTTCGAAATTTCCTTTTTTTTGCTCAGGGCCGGTGCTTTTGCTCGCCGCCGAAAGCAGCCGTCTCAACAAAACCAGCGTTCCCGCTCGAGATTTCCTCCAGTTTTACCTTGAACAGGCGCGCTACTCTTTCTCTCATCGGCGCCGCCCCCCAGCAACAACAACGCTCCCGCTCGAGACTTCCGTCCTTTTTTACTCAAGGCGGTGCTCTTGCTCGCCGCCGACAGCCCCCGGCCCGACAACACCAGCGCTCCCGCCCGAGACTTCCTCCCGTTTTACGCTGGGGATACCTTGAAAGGGTGTGGATGGGGCATGAGGAGGATGCGAGCATGGGAGCGGCAGCGCCTGGGGGCGTGAGCGTTCAGGGTCGCGCGCCGAGGCCGCAGGATGGTGGCGTAACAGTTCGAACGGGGAGTAATACCCACCTCGTCTTCGGAAGGGTGCCCCGTGTTGTTCGAGGTGCGCCCATCGTTTGGGGTGCCTCCATTGGGCTCTCGGCCTTCGGCGGAGGGGCTCTTTTTTGATCCCTCATCTTACCCCCCCTCCTCGTCGTCCTCCTCCGAGATGCGGGGCGTGCGCAAGGCGATTGCGATGGCGATGTGCCATCCCAGCTGTGGATGTCGAAATTCCTCGGGAGAGGTGGTGGCAATGTCTCCTTGGGCAGGACATTTGAGCGAGGGAATATCGGACCCCTCATGCCAGGGAAATCCCCCATGATAGGGTGTGGTATCCAGAAGGATGCATGTGACATGCGGAAGCTTGGCGCGTGATGGTAAATTGGCTGTTGTTGTTGTTCTTGTTGTTGAACTCTCACTTTTGCAGAATAATTATTGTTGATCCCCCCCGTCCGGTGCGCATTTTTTTCGATTGAAGTGCCCTTCCCGGGGCTCGCACCGTGCTTCTAACCGGGGGAAGTCTTGAGCGTCAAACTGTGTCGTTGGCCCCGGTTTACACAGCGGCTCCCGCGTGAGACTTCTTCAGAATTTAGCCAGGACTTCCGCTCCCGCCCGAAACTTCCTCGCATTTTATGCAGGACTCGCGCTCTCGCTTGGGACTTCCTTGCAATTTATTCATGAATCGCTCTACCGGCGCTCTGGGGTCGCGCTCTCGCTGGACACGTGCTTACAATTTACTGAAGAATACCGCCCTTGCGTTGGAATTTCCTGCCATTTACTCAATCGCCGCGCTCCCGACGCCCAGGCACCCAGGAGTCGCGCTCACGCGTAGGTCTCCCCTCGCATATTACCTCGGTATCGGGATCTCGCTGCCCTTCGTGGCCCCGTTGCAGCCCTTCGTCGCCGACTCGCTGCCCGTCGTGGCCCCGTTGCAGCCCTTCGTGGCCCCCTCGCTGCCCTTGACTGCCCCGTTGCAACCCTTCGTGGCGCCATCCCTTTGTTTCGTGGCCACGTTGCAGCCCCTCGTGGCCCCCCCGCTGCCCTTCGTGGCCTCGTTGCAGCCCTTCGTGGCCCCGTTGCAAACCTTCGTGGCCCCCTCGCTGCCCTTCGTGGCCCCGTTGTATCCATTCGTGGCCCCTTCGGTGCCTTTCGTGGCCCCATATATGTGTGCCTTTCGTGGCCGCCGCTCGTTCGCGCCCGTGGTGGCCCCATATGCATGCCGTTCGTGGCCCCGCTGTCGCCGTTCGTGGCCCCCTCGCTGCCCTTCGTGGCCCCGTGTATGCCCTCAATGGCCCAGTCTTTGCCCTCCGCGGCCCAGTATACGTATGCCCTTCGTGGCCCCTGTGTGGCCCCCTCAGTGTCCTACGTGGCCCAGTTGCTACCCTCAGTGGCCCCATCGTTGCCTTCTGTGGCCCCGCATTTTCTGCCCTTCGTGGCCCCCGCTCGTTCGCGCTCTTCGTGGCCCCATACGCATTCCCTTCGTGTCCCCGGTGTCCGCCTTCGTGGCCTACTTCGTATCCTTGTGGCCCTGCTGTCGTTCTCTTTTCGCTCTCGCTTTCGCTCGCCGTCGTGGCCGTCGTCGCCGTCGTCGTCGTCGTCGTCGTGGTCGGTCCCCTGTCCGTCCCTCTTGGGGTCGGGTCGACGGTCCGCGACCGCCCCGCCGATCAGCGCTGCCGCTGGCCAGGCCGACGGTCCGCGGCCGCCCCGCCGCTTGCCGGGGCCCGGCCTGCAGGGAAGAAAGGTATACCCCCCAAAAGGGGTTCGATCGAAGACGAAAAGGGCGGGTATCGAGGGTTGTCCCCGCCCAGGTGGGCAAGTCGGCCAGAGGGGCCAATGCCGCGCCAGTGGGGATGGGGATCGGTTCGAAGCGGTTTTTTGCTTCCCGGCGAAAGCGAGCGTGACCAGAGGGGGCGAGGGGGGAGGGGGCCGGTCGCGTCGCGACTCGCGCCAGCGCCGCCTGGGAGCTAAGGAGTGGCTCATTCCCAGACGGCGCTGGCACGAGTCGCGCCGTTGGGGAGGCGGGGCCAGTCACGGGCGTCATCACGAATGGCAGAACGGGCTTTCGGACGATGCTCGCAGGACGCGCTCGGCAGGGGCCACCAGTGCGGGACGGTGCAGCTCGACTTCCAGCTGCCCCTCCGGTTCAACCTCCGCTTCCAGTCGGAGAGGGGCGAGGCGGCGGCAGAGCCGGAGGCGGAGGCCGCGAAGGAGGCCGCTAAGGAGGGCGAGGCCGGCGCGGAGGCCCTGCCGCTGGGCTACGAGCGCCCCGTCATCTTGCACAGGTCCAACAACGAGAATCGTAAGTCGGGCACGTCCCTCTACTCGAGGAATATTCAAACATACTTCGAACACAGGGGACGTTCTTTTCGACATGTGTTGGATCATTTTTTTGTGCATGTCTCATTTTTCTTCAAAATCCGCCTGCAGGATTTCACCTTAAGGGGAACCAGGTAGGGGTCCCGAAGCAAAAATCCTATGTCACTAGCACTCAACCAGGTCTGCCGTAGCTCGTGTGTTTTCGGGTGGCGGCTGTTCCGGTCAGTGGCATGGGGTGGGGGAGGCGTCCCAAAGCATACGCCACTAAACCAGGTCCTGGTAAACCCAGTCATGCCAATGCCCGACTCGTGAATTTGCAAATCATACGACGGGAAGGTTTGATCAAATGTTGACCTTCAAGTGCCCTGGCTGCGAAACAGGAGCGTGGCGCAACGACTCAGAATGAACAATCCGTTCCTGGAGAAGGGGTATAGAATTCTGGGGGTCGTTGCAAGAAATCACGACGTCGGAGGTTTGGGTAAACGTAAATCTGTAGAGGTTCGCGCGGATTTCCAAGGGAGGGAATCTTTTTTCCTCAGGTGCGTTTGCTAAATCAGTGGCTTCGCTTATCGGGTCGCTTATGGTCGGTTATTATGGGGTTGTCTCTCCTGCCCTCTATATCCCTCGGATCGGCGCTGGACCCCCATGCTGGCGCCTCCGTCGCCACCCTTGGGGCGCTCCGCGCGCAGGGGTCCAGCGCAGACGCAAGAAATCCGCGCGGACCTCTTATGTTTTTTGTCTTTCCTGTTCTTCTTCCAACAGGGCCATCTTGGGCTCTGTGGAGCGCATGCTTGGCGTTCTCTGCGAGCACTATGGGGGCAAGTGGCCGTTCTGGCTCTCGCCGCGGCAGTGCACCGTCGTGCCCGTGTCCGCGGACGCCTTCGAGTACGCCACGTTCGTGAAGGAGCAGCTGCACAACCGTGGCTTCCACTCGGAGGTGCTCGACGACGAAAGCCTGCATGAGCATCGAGCACCGCGCAGATTTCTCGGATCGGCGCTGGGCCTTGACGCGCTGAGCGCGCCAGGGGCGGTGCCCGAGGCGCCGCCAGGGGGCTCCAGCTGAGGCCCGAGACATCCGCGTGGACCTCCCAGAGTGTGTGTATTTATGCTTTTGTTTGTTCCTCCAGGTGAACCTCTCCCCCGCCACAATGAATAAGAAGATCAGGGAGGCGCAGCTGGCTGGATTTAACTACATCCTGGTGGTGGGCAAGGAGGAGGAGGAGAGCCTGTCGGCCAATGTCCGGGTGCGCGGTGAGAAGAAGCCCGTGGGCACGAAGTCGCTTTCCGAGCTCATGGACGAGCTCGATCTCGAGAACACCCCGTGGAAGGGGAGAAGCAAGGCCGTTTGGACGACAACGGGGGGCGATCTTCCAAGAATCCAAGGCGGGGATGAATCGATCACCGCCGTCCCGAGGATTGGTCTTCGGGGGAATCGGCAGGCGGTATATACATATATATATATATATATATATTATATATATATATATATATAATATATAGATATGCCTGGATACGTCCGGCCCTCCCAGGGCCCAAGCAAACATCCATGTCCACCGCCCGCTGGCGTCCCAGGACGTCCGTCTTCCATGCGGTGGGTATGGGTAACACCCCAGCCTCGCAGAGAGGAAACAACTGCACCAACATACTTATATCGGCAGTCCGCGCGGCTTTCTTGGGTCCGCGACGCCCCCCCCCCCCCCCCCCCGGTGGCGCGTTTGCCGCCGCCCCCTGCCGCGCCCTGCGCGCCAGACAGGGGAGTCCAGCGCCGACTCAAGAAACCCGCGCGGGCCCCCAAACAAATGATGTATGGGCCGTTGATTTTTCCTCTAGATGGATGCGGGAAGCCAATCCGAGGATCACTGCTCAGGGACTGGAGGTGGGGAACGTGGGGACTGTTTTGGGGTTTTTTGGCAGGCTCTCGTGGTGTTTGGCAGGGGGGCTCTTTCAGGACAATTCCGGGCCAGCCTCGTGCTGCATCTCTCTCCCCCGCTGTCTCGATTACCCGCCGTTGATGTTCTTCCCGAGGGGGGGCGCGACTTGGTCTTCAAACGCAGTTCGCCCGTTGAGGATGCATCGCCTGTTGAGGATGCATAGGTGGGGCCACACCTGGGTTTGCAGCCGCCGGGCCGCAGAACAAGATGGAGCTCACTCCTGACGCCATGTTTTTTGGCGTCGAGCGCAGCGCTCGCGTGTCACCCGAGATTTTCGGAGCGATTGTTTGCTCCAGCACGGGGCCAGTCATTGGCTCAGAGATTTTCTTATTCTCAGTGAATTTATCGCCATTGGCAGCGCAGCTAGCGCCTGCCCGACGCACGTCACAGGCTGAGGTTCCGTGCGAGCCTGCTCGCAGGTGCGTCGGCCCGCACGGCAGGTTTCGTCGCGGTGAAGAAGGTGAAGTAGCATTACTCTTCAACAATGAATGTGGGATGGATGAGGGATGAAGGAGCCTGATGAGGGAGGGGGAGGAGGAGAAGGAGGAGGAGGAGGAGGAGGAGGTGGGAACAGCGACGACGATAATGAGAGAGATGAGTGGGACTATGAGGAAGAAGGAAACGACGTCAGAGGATGAAGTCCAGAATGAACCTTGATCGCTGGTGCTGCAACGCCGTGGGTCTGGACTCTCCTGCGGACCCTGCTCGTCAATCTACTTCGAAGGGGGTCCGAACCCGCCGGGTCGCCTGGTGGGTGCGGTCTGGTTTGGCCAGAAGGTACGTACTCAGCAACACGTCGCCATCAAGGAAACGGGTCCCGCGGGAAACGGGAGTTTAAGACCCGGTGGTTTCTTCAAGACCATTTCTTCATCATTCGGTTGCTTTTTGATGATCCTGGGGCCCTTGAAAAGGCTCCTGGCATGAGCTCGTAGGGTCCGTTGGCGTGTCTTGGGGGAGGTGTGTCCCAGGCCCCGCGTCCTCCAAGCCAAGGGCGTCGCGCCCACGGCGTTTGCTGCAGTGCAGTCACCCGTGTGTGTGTGTGTGTGTGTGTGTGTGTCTGTTTTCTGCGCCCCGTCGCCGGGCGCGGAGCCGCGACGCCAGACATTGTGCGTGTGTGTGTGTGTGTGTCTGTGTGTGTGTGTGTGTTTTAGGATCGTTGTTCTTTCAGTCGATACCGATCACAGGAGGAACACATACCGATACCGCTACTCGTCTCTCGTCGCTACGGCTGGATTCGCCCCGAAATCTTTGTCAGAAAGCACTCTAGAAGAGGTCTGGGGATTGGCGGTATCGAATCCTGTCTGTTTTCCAACTTTCTGGCCGGCTCGATCGGATCCGATCTCGATATTCCATAGGATTACGCCACATCCGCTGACCCCTTGATCGACTTGGGGATGTCGTATTGTTGTCCTGGGGCGTAGTTGTGTTGTCTTGTTTCTTTGGGCAGGAGGAGGTGCAGGAGGAGGGAGGATGGAGGAGGAGGGAGGATGAAGCGACTCCCGAAGACGCCGCATACTTCCAGACCTCGGTCCGCCGCGAGAGCCTCGATCCCTCGATCCCCGAGCGACGCCGACGGGAGATTCTCGACCCTCGAGCGGCCCGAGGGATCTCCGTGCCCCGGCGAGCCCTCAGAAGTCTTCGAGCCTCGATCCTCGAGCCCACGAGCGACGACGGCGGGCTCGATCCCCCGGCGTGTGGCGGCCCCGCGATCCCTGCTCCGCGGCGAGTTCTCGGAGGTCCTCGGCGACGATGATGGGACATCGTCGGCCCCCCTGCGATTCTCGATCCTCGGTGAGCCTTGAGCCTCGAGCGAATCTCGAACCTCGATCCTCGACCCTTCGATCCTCGACCCTTCGATGTTCGATCCTCGATCCTCGATCGGATCGAGGATCGAGGGTTTCTCGATCCTCGATGTCCCATTCTCGACCCTCGACGATCCTCGACGATCCTCGAAGATCCTTGAAGATCCTCGAGCCTCGAGCCGCGGCGGGCCGGCAGGACGTCTGCATGCGGCACCGCTTCGAGGACGACCACCCCTGCAGGCCCGTGGAGGCTCTCGGCACGCGCGCCCAGCGCTCGCGGGGGGGGGGGGTGTTCGGGGGCAGCAGTACAGTGGGGGCCCATTCCAAGAAGCACCCTGCTTGCCTCCAGGGTGCCCTGGGTTTCTTGGGTTTCGGTGGTTTTGCTACGGAAAGCGTGGCGTTCCGCACCCAAAGTCAATGAACGTCCTGGGGTCTCAGGGTTGGGTTTTCTTGTGGAAGGTTTCTTGTGGAAGGTTTCTTGTGGTCGGGCCCCGACTGTAGGGGGGCGTAGGCTCAGGGGGGGATGGGCTAACCGAAGAAGGAAACACGCCATGAACATAAACTTTTGGCGGATTTCATGGATCTGCGCTGGGCCCCCCCCTGGCGGGTTCAGGGGCAGCAGCAGGGGCCGTAGGCCGAGTGGGGGATGGGCTAATCGAAAAAGGAACAACGCCACAAGGATAAACTTTTGGCGCTCCGCGCGGATAACTTGGATCCGCGCGGGGCCTCCTCTGGCGGCGACTCCAGCGCCGCCCCAGTCGCGCTCCGCGCGCCAGGGAGGGGGGTCCCAGCGCAGATCCCAGAAATCCGCGCGGAGCGCCAACAGTTTCTGTTTGTGCCGTTTTTTCCGTTCTTCTTTCTTCTACAGTAGGGGGCGTAGGCTCAGGGGGTGGCGGGCTAAGGCTTTGAGAAATGTTCAGAGGCGGTTTTCGAACGTTTCCGAGACCCAGCCGCGCCTCCTCGGAGCGTTCTGGGGGCGGGGTGCCCGACGATAAGAACGGCCGCCGGAGAGCGGGTCAGGGGCGGGGGGCGCAGGCTCAGGGGGGACGCATGGACCCCCAATCGCTCACCCATCGCCGGTCCAGGAGCACGATGGGGCACCCCGCCCAGGAGCGTGCATATCCGCCATCGGGGCCTTGTCGCCAATCTATCGGCGATGCGTGGCCGATGCCCGCTCTCCCCGAAACTGCTCCTGAGCTTGGCATCCCTCGGACTTGTGTGCTCTTTTCTCGAGGGGGGCTATCGAGGAGCATTTTGGGCCACCCTGCCAGGAGACACAGGCACGAGGCCGAACAAGAAGGCACGGGGAATGGCCGTCCGAGCGATGGCGAGTGAAGGGGGGGGGCTGCTGCCCTGCAGCATCGGGGAAGTGGCTGCTTCCAGGCCTTCTGGATGGGGCCGAGGCAGATGGGGTCGGAGGATCGCGCCGCATCGCCGGTGCATCAACGATGCGATACTTTGGCGATGCGGCACGATACTCCGACCCAATCTACAGTCGGACCGAAACATAACATCCTGGGACGGGTACCCCAGGAGGTTCTGCGTTTTTTGGCCAGTGGAGGGTCTCGTGTTCTTGAAGGATGCTATTCTGTCCGAGGTCCGGCTGTAGATGGGGGTCGGGGGATCGCGGCACATCGCCGATGCATCGGCGATGCGATACGATGTTGAGGCGGCACGATCCTCTGACCCCATCTGGTGGGGCCCCATTCGGGAGGCATCCACTGCTGCCCGGCAGCTCCAGCTCATCTCTCCGCCCCCTTCCCCCCCGCACTTCTGGCTTCTAGGCCTCCGCGCAATCCCCTCCCTCCCTCCCTCCCTCCGTCCCTCCCTCCCCCCCAGGCCCGATGGGGATCCGCAACCAAACAGTGCCAAGCAGCCCCCCCCTTTCGCGCCAGCAACCGACGGCGACTCGCCTGTCGCCGTCGCCGCCGCCGCCGTGGCCGCCGCCGCCGCCGGCGTCGTCGTCGTCGTCGCCGTCGCCGCCGTCGCCGTGGCCGTGGCCGTCGCCGTCGCCGCCGTCGCCGTCGCCGTCGCCGTCGCCGTCGCCGTCGCCGTCGTCGTCGTCGTCGTCGTCGTCGTCGTCGTCGTCGTCGTCGTCGTCGTCGTCGTCGTGATCGTGGTCGTCGTCGTGATCGTGGTCGTGGTCGTGATCGTTGTCGTGGTCGTCGCCGTGACTGTTGTCGTCCTCTCGTCCGCCCGCTTGGTTTGCCAGCACAAGGGCGGACTCGACTGTCCCCATATATCCGCCCGCATGATGTTTCTTTCAAGCCGCGGCCCCAGGTGCTCGACCGTTTCCTTGGGGGTGGCTTCGCGCCCCGGATCCGTTTCTGACAGTCCTGGCGCGCGACCAGCGGGCCTCAGGGGCCGAACTCCGAGAGCTCGCCCAGGCTGAAAGATCATGCCGCCCAAGATCGGGGACTACGCTGTCTCCCGTGGGGACCCAAAGAATATACACCACCACCACGTCCATTCCTCCTCTCTCCTCTATCCTCCTCTTCGTTTCCTCTTTCCTGGGAGAGGGAGGGGGTGAGGGAGGTGGTGGTGGTGTATATTTTTGGGCCCCCCATCCCGTCCCGCTGCGCTCTGCTCCCTCCTCCCGCCCTCCCCCCCCTCCTCGTGGGTGCGTGACAAGCACATCCGCGGTTTCGCGGTTTCGCGGGCCAGACCCCTCGGCCGCGACCCCGCGGAGATCTTGGGCGTTGTTGTTGCCGGAGTCCACGGGCTGCGAGAGGCGCGGATCGATGGGGATACATGTCCGCCGCGCTCGTGGCCTCCGCCGCCCCCCCCCCGACCCGATCATCGTCCGCCGCGCGCGCCCCTCAGGAGGTCGTAGCCGAGGCCCTGCAGGGCGCGCGGAGCGGCATGAGACGCGAGGAGGGCCGCCGTTGAATCGAGGGCGAAGAAACGCCGTAAACACGAAGTTTTGGTGCTCCGCGCGGATTTCTTGGATTCGCGCTGGGACCCCCCTGGCGGCGCCTCCTGCGCCGTCCCTGGCGCGCTCCCTGGCGCGCGGAGCGCGCCAGGGACGGGGGTTCAGCGCAGATCCAAGAAGTCCGCGCAGAGTGCCAAAAGTGAATGTTTATGCTGTTTTTCCTCTGTTTAAGCACCCTCGCCTCGGGTGTTCCGACGCCCCTGCTTCGGGCCAGGCCACCCCTGGTGCCGAGGAGGAAGGGGTACGCGGTGGATCGAGATGTGCCCCGTGGGAGGGATCGACGGGCGGCTTCCGACGGGGTGCGTGGCGTGGTGGGCGGGCGTCTTTGGCGCAATGGCGTCGGTGAACGTTTGGGGGTCGGAATGGGCTGTCTGCAGGGATGGCATGGGGGGGATGCTCCCCGAACAGTCAGGAGTACTGATACCGTTTCCCCTGTCATCGTTTCCGCCTTTTTGGCCCGCCTGGGGGCGCCCTCACGGCTGTATTCACCTCGAGGCTCGTCGGGAGCCTGGAGACGGGGTCAATCCAAACGGGGGTCAGCCAGAGCGTCTGATCTTGCAGGATCCTGCAGGGCCAGGGTCGCATTGACCCTGGTTTGGGTGCAGGATCCTGCAGGATTTTGCAGGATCCTTCGCATTGACCCGGGTTTGGGTGCAGGATCTTGCAGGATCTTGCAGGATTCTGCAAGTCCTGACTGACTCGTGTCTGGATTTACCTGGGTCAGAAGATCCCCGAACTCGTCAGAGCGCAGTCAG